AGGCAAGGTTGCTTTATAGGGCAGTAGGATTGTCAGTGGTGTTAAATAATTTTATGTCATCGGTGAAGAGGACGCAGCTGCTTTTAATATGATAACATAGATCGTTGATGTAAAGCAGAAAGAGTGTGGGTCCTAAAACGCTGGCTTGGGGGACACCGCTGTTAACTGGTGCCAGATTTGATAGGGCCCTCCCTATTTTGAATATTTGTTGCCTGTTTGTTGTTGGGCAGATGTTGTGCATGTGCCAGTGGGGGCTCCCTGGATTTGAAACTTCCTGCTGATAAATAAGGAAGGTCAGCATGCACCAGGAGGAGTGAGTTATTTATAATTTTTGCCTTCTTAAGTGCTATGTGGTCAGAACAGGAAGCCAGCAAGTTATACTTACTAGAATTATTGGGATTGTTAACCTTCGTTGCTAAACATTGCAGTTGCTAAGCAGAAAAATGATATGACTACAGTGGACTTATAACACCACTTCGTAATACTGTTGTTATATCATATGATTACAGTTTGTAATTTTGGCTGCTGGTGTCAAGCCATTTTTTCCATGTTTGGCTCCATGAGGCAGAGTGGGAGCAAATGGGCTGATCTCAGGAATCCTCAAGGAATCCTTCATTGATTGGCCAGGAAAATGTTACTTGACCAATTAGGAATTCTTTCTGGCTAAGTAAATAGCCACAGAGAAATCTGCAGTCCCCTTTTAAAATGAATCTGCCAAATGGCCCTGTTGAAGACCTTTCCAGCCCTATGCATTTGGCCAGGCCAGAGGTACAGGACTGGTACCTGGATGTCAGCAGAGCGGCTGGTCCTCTCAGCAAGCCTGCCAGGAAGAAGCGGAGGCAGTGGGCCTTCTCTCGCAGATGCACTATGCCCTCGGCCTGGATCTGCACACGGGCTACCTGGGCGTGCCGCGTTTCCTCCATGAGAAGCTTCAAACCTAAAGCAAGACAAGGCCTGCTGCAATTCACTTGTCCTTCTCATGAGTTTTCCCGCATTGAATTTCTCACAGTGAGTTGTCCTGCAGTTAGCTGCAGCGAGTTGGACGGGGCAAGATGGACAGGGCGAGTTGTCCCATTTATAGCATGTCTGACAAATGGAAAGCAAATATTAAGCTGCATTATGTTTTTTAAGCAAAAAGCTTAAAATAATACAGAACATGGGAGATATAAATTTAATGCTAGAACTGCCTATGGGTTATTTGAGGTGGCAAATTTTATTTCCCAACTGTTTCTGTGCGACTTACTCCCTAAAATTGAAATTGAAATATGCTCCTGCAGCAAAGAGACACCTACCTTACACAGAATATAAAAGAACATATGATGTATTTATCTAAATATGCAGTTCTAGATATATGTGCTTGAAGAATTCAAATAAAATATGTAAGAAATCTTGTTTGTTTAGCACAAGGAAGATTATATTTTCTACGTTTGCTATATCATCGTGAAAACTGGAAACTGGCCTCACAAATGAAAACTTTCATGTGTAGAAGGATTTTTTTAATTACTACAAACTATTTCAAACTGTGTTATGTGGGCATAATATTAAGGGCTTGCTTGATTCAGACATGTAAATTGTATTGTAATTCCATGCATTACCTATACTAAAGAAATAAACTAAACATACTAAAGTAAATTAAATGTGTATAATTTTCATGAATAGGTTTATATTTTATGGATTAAAAGTAATCTGATTCATTATTAAAATTCATTAAAATTACTACTATTTTATAGAGCCCCTTATTTCATCCCAGTATATTCAAAGTATAGACTCAATATTTTCAGTATCTCCCTTTCTCTGTTGTTCTCACAACAGAGATAAAAAATGTAAATGAAAATATGCTGAAGTTTGACTATGGGATCATTTTTGCTTTAAATCAAAAACTTATAATTAATTTTCAGGGAATTATTTTGCTATGAGTAGAGACTAGAGCAGGGGTGGGTTCTACTTACCTGTACTACCAGTTCTCATCGTGCCTACGCATGCATGGAGGCACGAAAGAACATCAGGGCAAGAGTACGTCCTGCTCATGAACACCTAGACAATGTGCTTTGGACAGGCAACACAAATATAATTTATCAATAGTACCAGAAGACTTGTTAAATGAAAACCAAGTCAGCATTTTACCAAAAGAACCTGATACCAATTGTAAAGCTTAGTGGTGAAAATATTATGATTTCAGGCTGCTTTGCTGCATCTTCCTGGGCAGCTCACCACTATAGATTTCACTAGGAATACTTCATTATACCAAAAGGTGCTTGATGATATTGTGAAATATAAGACTGGGTTTTATTTTGGGGAAACATGGTAAATAACGACTGGGGAAAAAAGGAGGGCTCTGGAATGGTCAAATCAAAGCACAGATCTAAATCCCATCAAGATGCTGTCAACTTTTCAATTTTTGTTCAATTACATTACATTTATATATTGTTTAATCAAAAATTAAATATTGGCAGGTCCACATCTTTAAAAATTAGAGAAAACTTTACATGGAGTGTACTTACTTTTTCACATCCCTAATCTTCTCAGGAATTGTCTTCATCACTTTATTTGAAAATCTGAATCTGCTTTGCAAGAAATTAGCCTTTTGATTATAATACCTGGATTGTTAAAGCTATTCCAATTACTCCCATGAAATAGATTGCAATTTTTAACTATTCATTCTTATCTTGAAGAAGTTTTAACCCTAAAAGCACTGACGTATGTTGAATTCATTGATTTCTGTGAGAAAGAAATCAGGAATTATTCATAATTAAACCATGAAGAATTTTCAGTTGCAGATAAGAAAATTACTATTTAATAACAAATAAAGGATTTTATGAATACACATCTGTCAGAGAAAGTGTGTGCACAATTATTAGGCAGGTTATATTTTGGAGGATTAATTTTATTATTGAACAACTACAGTGCTCTTGGTCAATCCAAAATGTTAATAAACCTCAAACCTGAATAATTAAGAAGTAAAAGTGAGGTTTTGGCTCTCTTAGCAGAATATCTATGTGTGCACAATTATTGGGCAACTGTTAATGTGTAGTAGGTATTATTATGCAACTAAGTGAAAAATGAAAACTTGCCAATCTCATTTGTTTATTATGTGAGAACAATAAATAAAACTCCAAATAAACTACAAATAAACATTTCTGACATTAAAAAAAACCCCACCAGTGAACAATATAGCCACGCTTCTTTTCAATAACAGTCATACGCCTTCCATTCATCTTGTCAGTTTCTTGATCTGTTGATGATCAATTTTTTGTGCAGCAGCAATCACCGCCTTCCAAACACTGTTCAGAGATGTGTACTGTTTTCCTTCCTGTTTAAGAAGGGCCCACAAGTTCTCAATAGGCTTTAGATCAGGTGAGGAAGGGGGCCATGTCATTATTCTTTCATATTTAAGAAGTTTACTGGCTAGCCACACAGTGGAGTACTTCAATGCATGTAATAGACGTTTTCCTGTACCACTGCTTGAAGACAGCATCTTCTAAAAACTGGCAGTAGGTTTAGGAGTTGATTTTTAGTCCATCTTCAATCAAAAGATCCAACCAGCTCATTCTTAATAATACCAGCTCATACCAGTACCTCACCTCTACCTTGCTGGCATCTGAGTCAAAGTGGAGCTCTGTGCCCATTTCTGATCCAGGGCCTATCCATCTGGTCTGTCAAGAGTCACTCTCATCTCTAATGGGACAAAAAGATAAGTATAATAAAAGAAAAGTAGAGGGGGAAATGTAAATAATAGAGGATTATGGTTATGAAACTGCTGTAGAGGAGGAATATATGTTTTTGTGTTTGTTATGTCTAGTTATTTTAAAAAAGAAAAAAGAAAGAAAAAAGAATCACTCTCATCAGTCCATAAAACCTTTGAAAAATCTGTCTTCAGATATTTCTTGGCCCAGTCTTGCTGTTTCAACTTATGTGTCTTGTTCAGTGGTGGTTGTGTTTCAGCCTTTCTTACCTTAGCCATATCTCTGAGCACTGAACATGTTGTACTTCTGGGCACTCCAGGTAGGTTGCAGTTCTGGAATATGACAGCACTGGAGGATAATGGGTTCCTGGTACTTCATGTTTGATTCTTCTCAAATCTTTGGCAGCTAATGTGTGTCTTTTTTTCTCAACCCATTTCTTGCAACCCTGTTGACTATTTGGAACAAAACATTTAATGGTTCTGTGATCATGCCCCAATATCTTAGTAATTTCAAGAGTGCTGCATCCCTCTGAAAGATTTTTTACAATTTTTGACTTTTCAGAATCAGTTAAATCTCTTTTTTGGCCCATTTTGGCTGAGGAAACGAAGCTGCCTAATAATTCTGCACACAGTGTGTATGTAGGTTAATTTATTACAGTTTTCCTAATATTGTTTCTACAGTATTACATTTCTATACATAAAATTTATCTAGAATAGTTACTGTACCTGACTGAAAGCAAAAACTATTTTAAAATTAAAGCTAAGAACTAACAAAACAGCACATAAATGCGTGTGTGTGTGTGTACATAGATGTATTGAGAGAAATAGCATATCAGCTGGGGTTTTTTTTGGAAGTACAGTTTTCCTAGAAATTGAAGAAAACAATTAATTTGCATGATTAAACCCAAAAATAGGAATAACTTTCTCCTGTAACAGAACCAAATGTTACCTTAAAATCTTTGTTGAGCCTGAATTAAAACATATCTGGTTGGAAAGAATGAAGTTATTACCAGTTTAGAAGAAAGATTCAGACAACATAACATATTTGACATATTCTCCACACAGACTGGACAAGAACTTCAACTAGAATAAGTACATAAAGTATAATTGGTATTGTGTAAGGGATTATATATTTGAAATTTCCACAAACCTCTAGATAGCCTTAAAAGTTGGAAATTGAAAGGGAGTCCCATTTCTCCTTCATTATGGTATTTGGTTATGGAAAGAATGAATAAACTTATACTACACATGTAAGTTGATAGAACACATATAATATAGAATCTATTTCCAACATATGCTCTATTTAATTCTGTTCCAGGTGAATAATTGAATGTATAGAAGAATTCCAGGTGGTATTATCTGACGTGCATACAGAAGGAATGAAGCATGGATGTGAAAGAACGCAGACCTTATTGCTCCCTGACAAAGAGCAGAAGAGACAAGGAAAGGCGTTATACAAATTCTTCCACAGAAAATGAAGAATGCAGAGTGCCTACTCAGAAGTCCTACAGTTCAAGTGAAACCTTGAAAGCTTTTGATCATGATTCTTCCAGACTGCTGTATGGAAATCGGGTAAAAGATTTAGTTCCCAGGGAATCTGATGAATATACCAGACAAGGTAGGCAATTAGCATAAATCTCCTTTATGAATGTATACATTGTCCTCTGTGTGGTCCATTTTCTCATGCCAGTAATATGAATGATTCACTAATGGTATATTATATTGCTACCATATTGGTCTCAAACTTTAATGTGATTATTCCTGTTAATACTTACTTATTTACTATCTGTGTGCCTTATCAGTGTAAGAAAGCTAAATATTTTGGGAAACGCTTCAGAACATACACATTGTTGTTTCTAGATTATGATACACATATGCAGTTACCTTATCTCCAAAAACCACCTGGAAAGGGATTTGATAGCTGACAAGTTAATTAAAAAAGTGTTTTGGTTTCCATATCAAGTAGATTAATATATTGTATGATATAATATAATATTGTATCAGATAGATAGAGTGCAGAGGTGGTTTTCAGCAGGTTCTGACCAGTTCTGGAGAACAGGTAGTGAAAATTTTGAGTTCAGAAAACAGGTAAATACCACCTCTGATTAGCCCCGCCCCCATCTATTTTCTGCCTCCTGAGTCCCAGCTGATTGGGAGGAAATAGGGATTTTTGCAATAACCTTTGCAGACAAACTCTTCATGATCCCTTTATCATGATAGAATTTCTTCGTCTAGGTGGATTTCCAAAATTTGAATATCACATCTTATAACAGACTATTCAGTTAAGTTGTCCCCAGAAATTTTAGGGGAAGTCATCTCCATTTCTTAAGCGTTGTCTGGAGACATTTCCATAGATATGTGGCCAGCATAACATCACACCGCAGCACAGAGCATATGGCAAAACACAGAACACTTATCTTCCTGCATCCTTAAATGTACTCCCTATTCATCTACTTGCATTTGCATGCTTTTGAACTGCTAGGTTGGTAGGAGCTGGGACAAGTGATGGTAGCTCACTCCATCTTGCGGCACTTGGGTCTCAAACTGTCGAACTATAGATCTTTAACAGTCTGGATGGACCTTCTCCAAGATTATTTATCCCTAACCTGGCTTCAGATCTTCTTATGGCATACCCATCACTAGTGCAATTGAGTCCATTCAAATTTCTCCTGGTCACTTTAAAGAATATGCTAATTTGAACTATCCTTATACTCTTGTTAGATTTTATTTACATGTCCTTTCCTCTTATATCAAAATTTGATATAATTGGCGGAACAATAACAAATCTAAATAAAGAAGCTAAATAAAGAAGTGTGAACAATTGGACTCAGTGTGTGTTTGTTGGAAAATCCTTCCATCTTTACCAGAATTCTATACAAAGTTCCATTAATATTTCATAGTCATACTGTCATAGTCATAACTACTTGTCATGGAAATAACAAGATATATGGGAATGATTATAAATTGCAAATTTATGGTTAAATTCTGTATATTCTGTATATAAAGTTGCATCCCTTCTGGCACTTTGTGTCCCTTTTGATTTCTTTTTATTTATTATAATATACTGTCATACTCATCATTCTTAGAAAATAAAGTTGTGGGCAGCTGACTATAGTCTGGCATTTGTTCTATTTTTCTCCTGAATTGTGCATCATCACTCAGGGAAAAAAAAGTGACATGGAAGTGGTACTATCATATATGGTGTGTATGTAGAATGCAATATTTTGTTTATGTGATATGTAGGTGTTAATTTATTTTGTGAGTCCTTTGTAACTGGGCTAGGAACCCAGAAATTATGAATTCTAGTCCCACCTTAGGTGCAAAAGCATCTGGGTGACCTGGGGCCAGTTTCTCTTGACCCTAAAATGGCAAATCACTTGCAAAAAAACCTTGCAAAAGAAAATTATAGGGACTAGTTCAGACAGTCACCGGGAATCAACAATGCTTTGAAGGCACACAAAAATGTATTCATTTCTTTTATGAGTTCTTAGTCAGTTAGGTTTGCATTATGTACAGTATGCATTTGCTTTATGTAATTGCTTTCCTCCACACTTTGTTCTTCTAATTTCAGTACTTTGCTTTCTGCAAGATGCATACTTCATAATTGTTCATAGTCATCATGGAATTTTTTTTTGGCAAGAGTTGCCAAAAAGATGCAAATCCTCTCAAAACTTGAAGTGTGACATTGAACTAGGAAGGTTGGGAAAGACAACAATGGTTCTGTGAGCAAGTTCTAGTTCTATTGATACTTTTGATAAGATTGAATTGCAGATCATGTGTAATAAACTACCAGTCCTGTTAACACTTCTCCATCTGGTTTTCTGAGACATTACCATGTTTCCCCGAAAATAAGACCCTGTCTTATATTATTTTGAACCCTGAAATAAGGGCTGGGCCTTATTATCGGGGGGTCTTATTATTATGGGGGTTCAGGAGTCAGCGAGCGTGGCCACCTCATGGCTTCTGCTCATCAGCTGTTCGCTGAGCACTTGCCTGCTTCCCATCCATCCATCCATCCATCCTCCTCGCCTGCAAACTCCCGCCCCACTCCCACCTCACTGCCGGGCAACCCCCGGCAGCCCCAGATGCCCAAAGCCTGCGCCCACCTGGCTCCTTTTTCCACAGCACCCGGCTCTTTATTGAGGGGGGTGGCATGTGGGGCAGGGGAAAAGCAAGATGCGTCTTGCAAACACGTAAGGTAAAACCAAACTTCTTGCGAGTTTGAGAAGTTTGATTAAAATCGCGAGGTTTTTTTACCCTACGTGTTTGCCTGCAGACAACGGCAAGACAAACGACGGAGCTGCAAGGTACCGTATTTTCCGGCGTATAAGACGACTTTTTAACACATGAAAATCTTCTCAAAAGTCGGGGGTCATCTTATATGCTGGGTGTCGTTCTCCTGTAACCAGGCAGACCAGCCCAAAAGGCTCTGACGAACCTTAAATGGCTCTGGCGATCCAAGCTCTGACGATCTGCTAATCAGGCAACTCAGCTGGGATCGCCAGAGCCATGGAGAAGGGAAAAACTTTTCCGTCTCCAGCTTGCTTACCTTAGCTCAGTGGTTGGGGGTCAAACAACCCTTTCACAGGGGTTTTGCAGGTGGTGCAATACAGAAAAACGAGCGCAGCCCTCGTCTCTGGAGGAGCCTGACCAAAGTTTCCAGTGCCACTTCAGGGAGCGCTCCTCAAAAGATGAGATCTTGCAGGAGGCTGATCTGGCATCCACAATGGAGAGCAAAATCCAGTTGCTCCCCGGACCAGTCACCATTTACCACTCCGAGTCCCAAGCATCAGGAGATGAGGGCTGCCTTGTGCACAAATATACCAAGGCGGAATCCTGATGCCGCTCTTACAGCGGAGAGAAGAAACCGGATTTTGCTCTCCATTGGAGACACCAGATCGCCCCTCTGCAAGCTCTCCTCTCTCAAGCAGCCCAAACAAAGTTTCCAGACCCGCTTCAGGGAGCGCTCCTCGAAAGATGAGATCTTGCAGGGGGCTGATCTGGTATCCGCAATGGAGAGCAAAATCCAGCTGCTCCCCGGACCAGTCACCATTTACCGCTCTGAGTCCCAAGCAGCAGGAAACGAAGGCTGCCTTCCGCTGCAAATATACCAAGGCAGAATCCTGATGCTGCACTTTCAGCAGAGAGATGAGGGCTGCCTTGGCCATCGGCTGGTGCAAATATACCAAGGCGAATGCTCTTGCCGCACAAGTTCAAGTAGTGCTTCGCTCCCACACTTCTTCCGGCCCTCAGTCTCTCAGGGAGATGCTTGACTTCCTCTCAGCCCCAAGACACTGGCTGGCCCATGAGATGAGAGAGAGAGAGAATGAGAGAGAAAGAGAGAGAATCAGAATGAGACAGAGAGAGAAAGAGACAAAGAATGAAAAAGAGAGAAAGACAGAATGAAAGAGAATGAGAGAAAGAGACAGAGAGAATCAGAGAGAGAGAGAGTGAGAGAGAGAGAATGAGAAACAGAGAGACAGAGAATCAAAGAATCAGAGAGAATGAGAGAGAGAGACAAAATGAAAAAGAATCAGAATGAGAGAATCAAAATGAGAGGGAGAGAGTGGGGAGAGAGAGAAAGAGGGGGAGAGAGAAAGAGAGAATGAGAGAGAAGGAGTGGGAGAGAGAAAGAGAAAGGGGGAGAAAGAAAGAGAGAAAGTGGGGGGGGGAGAGAGAAAGGGGGACAGAGAGAAAGAGAGAAAGAGTGGGGGAAAGAGAGAGAAAGAGGGGGGAGAAAGAATGAGAGAGGGGGAGAGAAAAAGAAAGAGTGGGGGAAAGAAAGAATGAGAAAGAGAGGGGGAGAGAGAAAGAGAATGAGAGAGTGAGGAAGAGAGGGTGGAGAGAGAGAGAGAGAATGAGAAAAAGTTGCAAGGTTGGAGACCCCTGTTCTATTGGGTAAGTTTTTTTCCCCTTTGGGATCTTTAAAAAAAATAATTAATTGGGGTTTTTTTTAGTTGTTCTTTTTTAGACCTAGCCATTTAAAGTTTAGGAAGTTTTAAATTTAGTTTTCATATAAAAATAAAAATAAAATAAAATAAAATAAAATTTGTGCAGCTTTCTGAGATTTAGTGTGTTTCTGTAGTGTTTCACTCTAACTACACAAACACACAAAATCTCACAAAGCTGTATGTGGAATTTTGTGTGTGTAAAGTGTGAAAGTTGTTTTTTTGGGCTTTTTGTGGCTGTGTGAGGGTCCTGCTTCTTTCAGGGGCCATTTTGGGTCTAACACAGCTGCTTTTACATTGTGGGTGAGCCAGTTGATGTTTTTTTAATTTTTATTTGGTGTGCGTTGGAAGAGGGGTAGTCTTATACGGTGAGTATAGCCCAAACCCTATATTTTAACAGGAAAATTTGGGGGTTGTCTTATACGCCCAGTCGTCTTATATGCCGGAAAATACGGTAGGTAAGACGGCTCCATGCACCCCAATGGTAACAGCAGCCTGGCTTCTGCCCTTTCCCGCCATCTCTTTGTTGAGGGGGATGGCAGGTAGGGTGGGGGAGAAGAGAGAGGCATGGAGCGAGACAGGGCTCGCTCTTCTTGCCATCTCTTCTCCCCCTCTCGCCAGGCATGGCAGGGCTTCCTGTCCCTGCCTCAATTGGATACAATTTGGGGAT